TGGCCTGGTCCAGGGGGAAGGGAAAATTATACCTAGGCGAACGCGACCACTTGGACGCGAACGCGAGCCATCTTCCGCGAACGCGAAGGTCTGTCAGACCTAACTCATCGCGAACGCGATGACCAAATCCGCCCAATTATTTTAAAAGTCCATAAACAGAATGCATTACGGGATTTAACCCATTTTTCACAAACTTCTTCTTCTCCACACCTCTTGGGCGATTTTTGAAGAACTTCATCACCATAACCTCTTGGGTAAGTAATCTTTGACTTATTTTCTTCCATTTTTATCAACACCCACTAGATTTCTAGGCCTAAAGCATGTGATTAAGGGTAGAAAATAAGGGATTGGGTAGAGTTAGGGCTTTTTAATTATTTGGAAATTTGACCTCGTTTTGGGTCGGATTTCAAAATAAATTATATATTCGGGCTCGTGGGTGAATGGGTGATCGGGTTTTGGTCCGAACCTCGTAGTTTGACCAAGCGGGCCCGGGATCATTTTTTGGGTTTTTAGAAAGAATGATTGGAAAGTTATAATTAGGCATTGGAATTGGATAGTTTGGCGTTTATTGATGTTATTAAGTCGATTATGTCTAGATACGATTGATTTGGAGCCAAATACGAAAGGGAAAGCGGTGTTTGTGGTTTGAGTTGGCCGTAGAAGTTCGAGGTAAGTGTTCGGTCTAACCTTAGCTTGAGGGATTAGGAGTTATGTCCTATTTGCTATTTGCTTCTTGTTGAGTACGACGTATAGGCATGGTGACGAGTATCTATACGTTGGTGTCGAGCATGACCGTGAGTCTTAATTGCAATTTGTTGTGTTCTTAAATGATACTACGGATGCTTTAATTGATGATTCTCGATATTGAGCAAGGATTAAGTTTGTTTTCGTGGAAATTACTTATGATTGAGTATTGGTGTTAGCTGAGACGAGTAGAAGTTGAGTTAAGATTGGTTATAGCTGATTCTCCCTTGCCGGGACGTATTTACTTTTACTGTCGAATCCCTTGCCGGGATAGTGTAGTTTATTGTTGATCCCTTGCCGGGACTCTTGGTATGGTTGTTGCTAAAAGTATATAAATATATGGATCGGGTTGCACGCCGCAACAATACTAAATATGGATCGGGTTGCACGTCGCAACAATGTTATATTGGATCGGGTTGCACGCCGCAACAGTGTTATATTGGATCGGGTTGCACGCCGCAACAATGTTATATTGTATCGGGTTGCACGCCGCAACAGTGATATAAATGGATCGGGTTGCACCGCAACAGTGTTAAATGATAAGGGATCGGGTTGCGCGCCGCAACAGTATTATTAATGTTTTGTTGTAGATTTTGAAGTGTTCTCTCATATTTCTCTTGAGTTCCTGCTGGACTTGGTATTTTCGCCGCAGCATGTACTCCCTCCCATCTTTATTTGTTTATTTCTGTTTTATTTTCCGCTGTATATTATATAACTTCACAGGTTTATCTGGAGTCTGGTCCTAGCCTCGTCACTACTTCGCCGGGGTTAGGCCAGGCACTTACCAGCACACGGGGTCGGTTGTGCTGATGCTACACTCTGCACTATGTGCAGATCCCGGAGCAGCTTTTGGACAGTAGCACTTGGAGAGGCTGCCTTCAATCCAGCTAGATATCCCGAGGTAGTCCTGCAGGCGTTCGCAGGCCCGACGTTCTCTTCTATCTCACTATGCCTTCTGTTTTCACTTGTTTTCGAGACAGACTGTATTTCCTTTTTCAGACACTTGTATGTGGTACTCATAGACAGTCCGTGATATCGTGACACCAGATTCCGGGTAGAGGAGAATATTGGCATTGTAGTACTGGCTTTGGTTATTTTATCTGTTTAAATCTTCCGCTTGTTCTGTTTATCGTTAATATTCAATGTTGATAACCTGTTAATCTATGTTGTTAAAAAGGATTAAAATATGAGAGTTAGTGATTTCTATATTTCGCGGCTTGCCTAGCTTCTACGAGTAGGCGCCATCACGACTCCCGAGGGTGGGAAATTCAGGTCGTGACAAGTTCTCATTTTACTAAAAGGTAAATGGCCAAGTCTAAGGTGCCAAGAATGACCAAAAGACAAAGCAGGAGAAGAAGTATAAACAGGAGACTCATCAGCATTCACAGAATTAGAAGAAACAGGACAATGTAAAAGGCTACTACTCTTATTCATATCATTGATGGAATTGGCAGTAATGGTATTTACAAACGAAGTATTGAAAATAGAGTTGCAACTAGAAGTGAGTGTAGCAGGGTTGAGAACATAGAGCTTATTCTGAAGACTACCAAGTGTCACTGGCCTCTTCAGAGAAAACACAAGCAACAGAAGAAAATAAGGCTAAGCAATTTATTTATAGAATTAATTGAGCAAGAGAAATCGGGTTATATTGAAAGGAAGGAACTAGAAGCACATTAGTCAGGGAAATTTCAGGAGTTAGGGTTAAAGTGCCAGTGCATGTTACTTTGACTATGTAGCCATTAGGCAAATTAAACAAGTAAGGAGAAATAAGAGGTTTAATATCAAACAAGAAGGAAGAGTGTGGTGTCATATAATTAGTTGCACCTGAATCTATAATCCAAGGACTATTCTCTATCTTAGAAAAATTACAAGCAAGAAACCTAGAACTATTGAAAGTAGGGTTACCTATCAAACCTGCAAAATTGGCAGAACCAGCAGTGATTTCCTGAGGACTAGTTTGTATTTTGGATTGTTGCAGAAGATTCATTAGCTGATCAAATTTCTCCTTAGTAATGCTTGTACCTCCAGAGTCTGAAGTCACTTGCTTAACATCACCACCAACCTCAGGCTGACTTTGAGATTGTGTATCAGAAACTTGAGCAAAAGCTGCAGTCCTTTTGAATTTAGCTAGGAATCCAGGTGGAAAGCCATGGAGCTTGAAACATTTTTCAATTGAATGTCCAGGCCTTTTTACAGTATCTACACACCAAGTTATTTCTCTTAGCTGTGTTAAAGTTAACTCTGTGATTATAAGGTTTCTGTGTACCGGTGGAGAATGCCACAGAATCAGTATTGAAAGAAGGAATAGCAGTTTGTACCGTGAACTGGCTCTCATCATTCACGAGCATGGTGTAGACACTGTCCACATCAGGTAGTGGCTTCATCAAGAGAATACTGCGTCTAATTGTAGAGTAGGACTCATTGAGACCCATCAGAAACTGATGAACCTTTTGATCTTCATCCAGTTTCTGAAACTTCTCTTTGCAGCCACAAACACAATCAGGATAGGAGATAGAATATGAGAGTTCATCCCAAAGCTTTTTGATTCTATTGAAATAGGAGGAAATACTGGATGTTCCTTGAGAAACAGATGAAATTTCCTTTCTAATCTGATATATTTTGATACCACTGGCCTGCCCAAACCTCTTTTCAATTTCATTCCACAACCTTTCAGCAGATTCTGTGTACATGACAGTTTCCCTAATATCTTGATCCAAACTATTAGGTATCCAAGCGACTACCATATCGTTCTCAAATAGAGGGGAATCAGGGTTAGGTTTGGGAATTGTACCTCTAATCATCCCTAATTTGTTCTTACAAGATAAGCCTAGTAACATTCCCCTCCCATAATCAGTACCATCAAATGTGCTAGAAACCAACATTGTACCGGGTGAATCAGATGGCAAAAAATATAAAGGGGAAGAAGGAAGTACAGTAGTCTCATCACTACTTACAGTACTGTCAACATGAGTCGAAATTGAACCCATAGTTCACTTAGGGTTTCAGCAAAAAAAATTTTACCCACACTTGCTTGAATCGATTAAAAAACGACAATAAAGGAAGAACACGGATGAATTCTTCAAAAAAATACTTGAAGCAAATATGAAGAATCAGAATACCGTAAGCAGCGAAGAAGGAATTGATTGAAGACTTGTGACTCAAATCGAAACCCCTGGCGATGGGTTAATCCATCAGAGAACAACCAAATCTTCACACAGCCACCCTGAAACCAACAGATTAGCTCCGATGAATCCTCGTAGTGGCTCTGATACCATGTCAATACTCAGATTTATCGGATGGAAGCCATGGATTGAAGAACCCTAATTTGGCAACAAGAGTAGAGAGAGAAGATCTAGAAGGATCTGTCTTATTGAAACGAATGTTTTTGATACAAAATATTCGTCAATCTTATAATACACATAGACTAACTAATATATACAATTTGGGTCTAGTATCTTAAATTACACTTGGGCCTAAATATAAGATGGGCCTATTAACCAGACTCATTACAATGTTCAGCTCCAACAAATATGGCTGATAATAAAGTCGTTGAATAGAATATAGGGTTTATCATTTGGAAACTAGTCTAGTACTAAAACTCAACGTCTAGTTCAATTTCATTTGAGAATACCAAGTTAACTCTTTGTCTCTTCAATTACTTTTGGCTTTTTTAGTTCCAATCCCGGGATTAGATTCACTAACTTAAAATATTGTGAACCGTTTTTTCAACACTAAGAAGTAGAGTGTTTATTTGAAGTTTTTCAAAAGATTAGCTTGCAAACTTAATTTTGAGTTCTTTTTATTTAAAAAAAGAAAAAGAAAAAAGAACTTGTTCGGGCTCTTTTTGCAAAGGGAAGTTAACTCTTGTAAAAGGATTTTCAGACCCAATCTTTCAAAATTTTCATATGGCATTGTTTTGTTGTGACAACTAAAAAAATTCCATTATATGGAGAATGTTTAGGATATAGTACAGTGATATTTTTTGTTACTTGAAAAATAAACTTTAGAGCTGAAGCATGTCCTAACTTCAGAATAAGAAAAGTTAGGACTGCTAATGGTCGTAATGTATAGAGCTATACTCAATGTTTTGTCATGTACAACCTAACCTACTGTAACCAGAAAGATAACTCTTCCTCCATCCTAACTATTGGACGTAGTGGTACTGTATCATTTCTAAAGTTGTGAGGTTTAACTATTGCAACATTCATCAACATGGGTTGTGGTGGAATAGATAGAATTCCTCCACCCTTAACCAAAAGTTACGGGTTCGAACCCTAAGTACACAAAAAATCTTGTTATGGAGTGCTTCCCCATTAAATGGACCTTATGTGGCACGAATTCGAACATAATCAGACTCTAATACGGATACTGAACATCAGGTGAGAAATCAAAAAAAAAAAAAAAATTACTAACACTCAGCGAGATTCCCTCTACTCCAATCTTGTGGATGTATTTATTCGACACTTGCTTGTGGACGGTAGTAAGTTGCTTATAGACTAATCGAGATGCGTCTAATAGTCTGTTTGGGCTAGTATCTGAAATCAGCTTATTTTAAAAAGTACTTTTTTTAAATGTATTTTTCAAAAAAATTAGTTTTAGGGAGAAACAGTTTGTGTTTGACTAATTAATTTGAAAAATACTTTTCCGCAGATATTTGGCCAAGCTTCTAAAATCAGTTTATTTTGAAAAATACTTTTCTTAGAAGTGCTTTTCAAAAAAATACTTTTGGTGATAGTAGTCTGTGTTTGGCTAATTAATTTAAAAAACACTTTCTAAAACAAAAAAATACGTAACACTTTTGACTTGATAGAAGCTTGGCCGTACATACTAAAAGTTGGTTCCAACGTCACTATTACAGAAGAATCTAAATTATGAAATGGTTGAAATTATTTACCAAAATTGAACTGAGAATATCCTCATACCCCCATCAAAGAAATTTGAGGTTCTAGTTTTTCCTTCCTCCTCTCTATTTTTCTTTTTTATTTTGATAAATACTAGTATGAGATCGAGTATCTCTCACCTACCACTTGATAGCATTGTAAGAACCATTGAAACGACATTGAATTATGATTAGTTAAGGAAGACTAGTTAAGAAAATTAAGCACTGTACACTGGCGATATTTTGGCGAGTTCATGACTCAATCATTAATTCATTATTGATACATCATCGTATAAATTGATAACAAAAGATGTAAGCAATGGTTGAATCTTGAAAGTTGGTTGATATCTTACATGCCAACAATTGATTGTCAATGCTAAATTTCGAACAAAGTCTTCTCATTACTGACTATTTACTAATAGTAGAATCTTTTGCTTCAAGAATTATAAATGCTGGTTCCCAAGAGACGTAGTTTAGGAGTCAAAGTTAGAGTTTAGGTAGATCATGACTGGCATATTCAAGGGTGATGCTAAATGGCCCAATTTTTGTGACCCAACTTTGGCCACACGCGTGAAAAGATATCAAAGACTTCCTAACTAATTAGCCTACATTTTTCCCTTCAAAACAAAAAATTAAATCTCAAGCCTTGAAGTATGCGAAGAGTCTTTTGCATTATATTAGTATTTCCATTGTATTTAGGTGTATTTTATGCGTATACAAATTATACGATTTAGTGTGTATACAAATTATTGTATTTTCTTCCTTTCTTAAAAACAAATACGGTATACGATTTAGTATACTTCCTCCCTATCAGGCCAAGTCAAGTGGATACTTTCTCTTTATCTAAAAATGGATTCAAACCAAGAAAATTTGGCTGTGCAACAAAATATGAATCCAAATGAACATAACACAAATACAACAACCATGAATATCAACCAGATAATAGGTTTGATCGAGTTAGGGACGAGTTGTACAGAGCTTTAGGGATGACATCGAATGATAGTTTGTTGAATGAATACGAATGGTCGATGTTGATTCTCACAGCAGTTTCAACAATGTTGTGCACTTAGATGATGATGATGATGATGATGAAGAACCCGATGGAGAATATCACGGAGAAGCTAACGATGATGAGGAGCAGGTTTTAGGAAATGAGTTAGAGTTATGTGATGTTGATCGCGAAATGGCTAATGAATTCACTGAAGAGGATGTGGTTGTAGGTCCAATCTCTGAAATGCGATTTAGAGATAAAGATTCTTTGTTTGCATTCTACAAAGAACATGCACGACTGAACGGATTCTCCGTCGTCAAAAGAAATTCCAATAAGAAGGGTAGTGACACTTCCAGGTATATAACTTACTGTTGTGATAGGGCTAGGATTCGCAAAACCAAGTTTAGCACCAAGAGTAATAATTGTAACTCTAGGCTCGCTGCTGTTTTGGATGATTCTGGTTGTTGGCGTGTCTCTAAGGGCGTTCACGATCACAATCATGATTTGCTCCCATCCATGTCGCGCCTGATGGCTGGACATAGGTCCGTTTGTGATTCTTTGAAGAGGAATCTTGTAGCTCACGATCGATCTAGCATTAGACCCTCCAAGAATATTAGACTTGCTGAGGTTCAACGTGGTGGACCGCAAAATTTGGGTTACACTCCAAAGGATTGTAGAAATTTTATTTTGAAGAGTAGAAATTTTGAAATGCAAGAAGGGAACGCACAGTTGCTGCTCAACTTTTTTCGTGAAATGCAGGTAAAGGATAGGGAGTTTTTCTATTCAATAGATGTTGATTATATTGGTAGGCAGCGAAATGTGGTATGAGTGCATTCACACTGTAGGGCAGCGTATGAGCAATTCCATGATGCGATATGCTTTGATACGAGGTACCTTGTGAATCGATATAATATGCCACGTGCTACATTTGGTGGCATCAATCACCATAGACAATCCATCTTACTGGGATGTGCTCTCGTGTCTCATGAAGATATCGATAGTTATAAATTGGTTTTTAGAACTTGGCTTGAGGCCATGGGGAATGTTCATCCAGATGCGATCATAACTGATTAGTGTCAGAGCATTAAGGTAGCCACTGCTGTAGTGATGCCAAATACAATACATAGGTATTGTATTTGGCATATATTTTCAAAGTTGATTCTTTTTACTTAAGTGGTGTCGTCCTTCTAAAATTGCATGTGGAGAATTTAAATCCGTGGTCCTTGATAGCATTATTATTGAAGTTTTTGCGAGAAAATGGACAGAATATATTTCAAGGTATAATTTGCATACAAGGAATTGGTTCAACAAACTTTTCCTTGAGAAGAAAAAATGGGTTCCTGTGTACCTTGATGTGTATTTTTGGGCTGGTATGCTATCTACGCAAAGAAGTGAGGGGATGCATGCATTCTTTGATGGATATATTACCCGTCAAAGCACTCTTAGGATGTTTGTTCACCAGTATGAGTTAGCTATAGGAGCTAAGCATGAGAAAGAGTTGGAAGCGGAATACAGGTCAAAGGGATTTCAAATTGTGTGTGAGTCAATATTCAAGTGGGAGGAGCAGGCAATTCAGTGTTATACGCATACAGTGTATGAATTTTTCAAGACACAGCTAAGGAAATTATATCAATGTGAAGTCAGCAGCCCGGACGATCATCAAGTTGTCCATGGTGTTGAGAAATTCATCGTTAGTGATTATTCAATTTTTAAAAAAAATGCTAGAAATCCAGTTGAGTACACTGTTGCATATATACCTATCGGCGATTATTTTAGTTACAGCTGCAAATGGTTCGAGTCTAGAGGGATACTTTGTTGCCATATACTCAAGATCTTGCCGCACAAGAAGATTGATAAAATTGATGAAAGGTATATACTGACAAGGTGGAGAAGAGATGCTATTAGGCCACACTTGAATCGGTTCCATCAAATTGGTTACCCAAACATGACCCCTGAGTACAAGACATACAGGAGCATGTTGAAGCATTTTGACATGGCTTGTGATATAGCACTGGGCACTAGCGTGAAGGTTCAATATGTTAAGCATAATTTGAAGAAGATGGTGCATGATCTTCAAAATTGGGACGACAAAATGATCGTGCCAAACCTCGACCAGGATGACTCAGATGAAACTGAAGGCACAACTCTACGAGATCCCCATTATACTAATTCACATGGCAGGACGTGTTTGAATCGATATAGAGGAAGAATTGAATACTACTTTACAAGTTCACAGCCGCGTGGTGTATTTGGAGCTAGTAATGGCGCAAGAACTGGTGTTAGAGGAGGTGGTAGGGGTGGTGGATGAATTTGTGGAAGTGGTAGTGGCAATCGTGGTGGTAGAGGTGCCGGTAGAAGTGGTGGACGCATGGGTAGGGGTAATGGGCAAGGCAGAGGTACAAACATTGAGCATGATGGTTCCCTAGGTGTGAATGAGGTATAATTTTGCGACTATATTTGATTTATTACTTAAACATATCATCTTTTCTTATAGTGTTTGTTTGATTTTAATTGCCGCAAATTGACGCTACACAATCGCAATCAAGCTTGTTTGATCTCAATGCCGAACCAGACTTGGAACTATAATAAAGAATATTGCCGAAACTTGGAGTTCTCAGTAGGCATAATTGCATTGTTGTTTTATTTGGTCTAGAAATTTTTGATTTTGAAGAAATTTTTCTTGTTTTGTATAAACTTTGGTGTTTAATGATTTATGAAACTTAAACATATCATTTTTTTCTTATAGTGTTTGTTTGATTTTAACGGCATATTAGCTACTACATTATTGTTGCTATCTCTCCCCATGATTTTGTATTAGTTACGTTGTATTCTGACAAAGAGAGGTATTTGTAATATTGAATCCAACCACTAATATTGAATAAGAAAAATCCTTTGCTGCCTAGGTTGAAACAAGTACCAACATTCTCTTTTTTTATCAACTCACTAATAAAGGTATTTCTAATATTGAATCCAACCAGAAATGCCCATAGACATGCTGGTTCATCAATTCTCCAATTTCTTCCTCTTTCATACTCACACACGTAGGTTCGAATCCCAACTATAACATTGTTCTTTCCCTTTTGTTTTCATCCGAAGAGTCTAGAGGTGGTTGAATTGTATTTAATATTTCGGTCTCCAATACTTTGAATCACTAATTAATATAATTTTTCGTTATTCGTGATGATTTTTCCAATTCTCTATGACCAAATTGTATTAAGATTTTCAAGAGTTTTTTTTTAATTTTTTTTCTGGGTTCCATTACATTCGAAAGAAGATGAGGAGGTATAGTTTCTAGTCCTCTTCCTAGTAGTTTAGGTTTTAGTCATTTTTTCCTTATACTAAATGTATAAAATAATTTTCATAAACATGAAAAAATAATAACAAGCAAAAATCACAGACAATAATTCCACTCTCCTTAAAATAATAAGTATAACAATAATACAAGGAAAAATAAAAGAAAATATTATAAGAAATCATATTAATCCATAGATATTTTAATGACAAGGGTAGAACACAGTCACTACATGACCTTAATGAAAAAATTAAAAAACCTAAGCATTAGATGTTCCTATCCTAGCACTTCAACATCGAATATCACAACACTTGATGTAGCCTCAACAAGTTCAAAAAGAAGAACACTCCATTTCTTCAGATTGTTGTCGACAACAAATTATTTTCACCCCTTAACGAGTCTTCTTCGAACAACACCTGTTAGAGTCACATTCCACTCCTTCCCATTATATTGTAGTAATGTCTTAACCGTACTAGAAGGAAGATATTGACAGATACTCTTTGAAAGGTACTGCACAAGCGTAATGGAAAGATAGGGTAAAAATCATATCATGTTAACTAAAAAAAAGAAAAAAAATTTAATCTACCATATAATCGCGCTTGATATACGATCTGGGCACGTTCATCCTAAACTATGGATAGAATTCCTCTTCAATCCATCCGTTAGCATTCATATTTAGAGTATTTGCAATGTTTGCAGAGTAGGAAATGTAGGTTAACTTATGTTTATATATATATATATATATATATATATATATATATATATATAGAAAGAGTCAAAAACTTTTCCCCTCCATCCAATCGTATTTTTAAGAGTCCCTTTGTTTTCCTCCAAATATTTTATTTGAAATTTTAGTCAAAAATTTGTTATCATGTTTTTCCTTTTATTATAATTAAGATTAACCAATAAAATATAGTATAATGATATTCTACAATAATATTGTAAAAATATTGGCCAAGAACTTTGTTGCTATGAATAACTAGTGGCCGATACGTATGACCTTAACGAATGAAATTATATATTGGCTACTATATATATAGACGTTCAATATAACTATACAGAGCAACAATATAATTAACATTACAACCATAGTAAATGGAAAAGTAATGGTTGCTATGACTAATTAGTGGCCGATACGTATGACCTTAATGAATGAAATTATATATTGGCTACTATATATATAGACGTTCCATATAACTATAAAGAGCAAAAATATAATTAACTAGTGGAACCATAGTAATGGAATAGTCATGGTCGCTATGAATAATTAGTGGCCGATACGTATGGCCTTAAGGAATAAAATTATATATCGGCTACTATATATATAGACGCTCAATATTACTATAAAGAGCAACAATGTAATTAACTAGTGGAACCATAGTAAATGGAATAGTAATGGTCGCTATGAATAATTAGTGGCCGATACGTATGACCTTAATGAATGAAATTATATATTGGCTACTATATATATAGACGTTCAATATAACTATAAGAGCAAAAATATAATTAGCTAGTGGAGCCATAGTAAATGGAATAGTAATGGTTGCTATCAATATCTACTTATTATTGATATTTCATAATTAAATTGCTAATTTGTCACGATCCGGATTTCCCACCCTCGGGAGTCGTGATGGCGCCTACTAATGTGAGCTAGGCAAGCCAATTATTTGATCAAATTACTTCTTTATCCAATTTATACCTTTTAACAATTATAAAGCAATAACTTGGAAACAACGGAAATTACAGTAAGCGGAAGAAATGCAGTAAATCATCTGAATATATATGTCTAGTACAACAGTTTGAACCTCAACCTCCCAGAACTGGTGTCACAGTACCACAGACGATCTAGGAATACTACATACAAAGTCTGAAAATAAACGATACACTGTTTCTAAATTAAGGAAATGAAACAGGAAATAAGGGGTAGAGGGAGACGCCAGGGCCTGCGGACGCCTGCAGGTCTACCTTGGATCTCCACGTGGACTGAAGGTAGCCACCCAATCTACGGTCCAAAGTCAACAACAGTGGGATCTGCACAAAAGAGTGCAGAGTGTAGTATTAGCACAACCGACCCCATATGCTGGTAAGTGCCTAGCCTAACCTTGGCGAAGTAGTGACGAGGCTAGGACCAGACCACCAAATAACTTGTGCAGTTAAAATCATATACAACGAAAATAGAAACAGATAATTACAGCTAAAGTTGGGCGGGGGAAACATGCTACGGGGAGTAACAGATAACAACAGAACGACTGTAGAGAAACATAAGAAATACTCTAAATCAATTACCAGCAAAATAAGGAAATAGAAGAACAGGCACACAAGTGATACCATTGCAGGCGTGCAACCCGATCCCATTACATATGATACCGTTGCAGGCATGCAACCCGCTCCCATTTCATATATTACCGTTGCAGGCGTGCAACCCGCTCCCATTTCACACATCACCGTTGCAGGCGTGCAACCCGATCCCATTTCACATATTAACATTGCAGGCATGCAACCCGCTCCCATTTCACACATTACCGTTGCAGGCGTGCAACCCGATCCCATTTCACATATTAACGTTGCAGGCGTGAAACCCGCTCCCATTTCACACATTACCATTGCAGGCGTGCAACCCGCTCCCATTTCACATTTTACCGTTGCAGGCATGCAACCCGTTCCCATTTCTTTTATCAACACCAATCAAAGAATCACGGCAAGGGAACAATAATATTAGTACAAACATCCCGAAAAGGGAACAATAATGATAATAACATCCCGGCAAGGGAACTATAATGATAATAGCATCCCGGCAAGGGAACGAAAATGATAATAACATCCCGGTAAGGGAACAATAATAAGATTCTCATATGAACCGCAATAAACCACAACGGAGGCATAATGATTACAATTCAAGACTCACGGGCATGCTTGACACCGACGTATAGATACTCGTCACCATGCCTATACGTCGGACTCCACAATTAACACGTGACAAATAAGACTAGACCAAACATTTACCTCGATGCCACGAACACAATTCACGTCTCAACTATCGCTTTACCGCTTGATTCCACCACCAATTCGCTCGTATCTAGCCACAAGTTACTTAATTATATCAATAAACGCTAAATGAACCAACTCCAATGCATGAAAATAAGTTTTCCAAAGTTTTACCCAAAAAGACAAAAATCGACCCCGGGCCCGCTTGGTCCAAACCCAAAATTCGGACCAAAACCCGATTACCCATTCACCCCCGAGCCCGGATATATAATTGGTTTTGGAATCCGACCTCAATTTGAGGTCTAACTCCCCAAATTTCAATATTCTAAGGTTTTTCCCAAAATTCCCAATTACCCCATGAAAACCCTAGATTCTAGGATGAAATCTTGTAAAAAGAAGTTAAGGAGTAAAGAAAATGAGTTAGAAATCACTTACCAATATTTTGGAGAAGAAAGGTTGTTTGAAAAATCGCCTCTTATGTTTTTGGGGTTTTGAAAAATGAAAAATAATTGAAAATCCCGTCTAAATATACCCCTCTCAGACCCCCTGTGCGGACCACACAAAATCGAGTGCGGGCGCACATCTCTCCATGTGGACTGCAGTGCCATGCTTTCGTATTTTGGACATAACTTTCTCTACAGATGTCCAAATTATAATTTCTTTAACTTTCTAGAAACTAGACACGAAGGGATACAACGTTCGTTTTTGAATCATCTCAAAATTCTTTGTAGATCAAAAGATATAGGCTTCCGAAGTCGAACCAGTGAACCTGTGCGGACCGCACACAATCGAGTGCGGCCGCACAGCCCCCACCGCGGACAGCACCAAAACCAATGCGGTCAGCACTGGCGGGTTCGGAGATTTGCACTTCTCTGAACCTGCAACATCCATATTTTAAGCCTAGGACATCCCGGAACCTACCCGAAACTCACCCGAGCCCTCGGGGCTCCAAACCAAACATGCACACTACCTCAAAAATACCCTACGAACTTACTCGTGCGATCAAATCGCCAAAATAACATCAACAACTA